GTCAGACAGATGACTTTGTTATTAATTCAGTGTATTTGATCACTTTGCTCAGTTATCATTGAATAATGTTTACTTGCCACTGTGGTGAAACAACCTCAGAAGCAAATTATAACTCAGACATGCGCGTGCATGTGGCGCTCAGCTCCCTGGACAAACATCACAACACCCTCTGAGTGCTTCCTGCTCCACAGCAGTGTCTTCATGTCCCTGGACGTTCATGTTGGTGCAGTGGTCCTGGATACAAACCTACTTATTGGCTCAGGTGTTTCTATGTGCAGTTTGCAGGTCTGCCTGTGCCAGTCCTAAAGTTGCTGAGTGTTGGTCTGATGCTCTTACACTGAAGATAACAAACTCATTCACGTACAGTAAGGTGATAATAAACTGCAGTCACACTTTTGTCTTGATTTTAAACAATTTTCAGATATTTGCTTCAGTTTTTATTGCTAACATTGAACTGTAATCTGTGTACTTTTTATTTCTTATTGGGTGTAGTTCACCATTGTGGCCACCAGATGGCGCACACTACGTGTTTAAAGTGAGTGAAAATGAAGCAGTTTTTTCTCCTCACTTAAATACTTTGGACAGAGAGACTTATCCCAGTGTTTAAACACTCAGTTTAAACACTTGGTGTATTTTCTATCTTCTATTATCAATTAAATCTGAGTTTTGCAAATCATTGAATTTTTTTTTATTTTTACGCTTGTGTCCTACCTTGTATGAAACCTCTGACAAAGCACTAAAACCTGCTTTGGGTTAAGTTCCTGCTGCAGTTTGTTTCCAGCATCATATTTTAAAATGACACACAAACTTTCAGAAGAATAAAAGAACACCAGGATCGGCTCTGCAGCCTCTCCTGATCTTACTATAAATGACCAGAATATGAAATGAATATTTTGGGGCTTAAGCTGTCACATCACTGTTATTGTGGTGTTAATGGGGGCTGATGGAAACGTCAGAGGTGGAAAAGCTGCTGGTTAAACAAAAGAAAAGCCAAAAGATAAACAAAGTTAGCAGACTTTGTTTCCTCTCAGGGTGGTAATCTGTTTAATACCGGCTGATAATCCAATCCAACCATTCGGTGCACCGACGACATCATCTTCTTCAAAACTCTTCATCTGTCCCTCTGGCTGCAAACTGTGACAACAGGAGTCGTTTAATTTTTTCTCTTTTCAGCCCAAACGTTCCTCTGCTGCTTTAATCATCTCCCAGTTTATTTGGTTGAGATGTTTGACTAAAAATAAATAAATAATATTTTTAAATATTAGCTTTTTAAATCTATAT